TTTCCCTAGGTGGGTGGAGAAGCACTGGGATGGGTTCCCTAGGGAGGGGGTGGAATCTCCATTCCTAGAGGTGTTTAAGTCCTGGCTTGACAAAGCCCTGGCTGCGTTGATTTAGGTGGGATTGGTCCTGCCTTGGGCAGGAGGCTGGACCGGATGACTCCTGAGGTCTCTTCCAGCTCTGATTCTATGAAGGCAAGGTAAACGATTAGAGGGCTGGGGCATGTGATTGCTGAGGGAACTGGACTTAGTCTGCAGAAAAGGTGGAGGAGGGGGGATCTGATAGCAGCCTTCAGCGACCTGAAGGGAGATTCCAGAGAGGCTGTTCTCACTGGAGGCAGACGGCCGAACCAGGAGCAATGGTCTCAAGTTGCAGTGGGGGAGGTCTAGGTTGGATATTAGGAAAAGCTATTTCCTTAGGAGGATGGTGAGGCACTGGGATGAGTTCCCTAGGAAGTGGTATGGTGGAATCTCCATCCCTGGAGGTTTTGAACACACCCGTGGTTGGGGTTGATCTAGATGACCTCCTGAGGTCTCTGCCAACCATAATTGTACATGTGGCTACTGTGGGCAGAGTCTGTTGATCACTTCTACAGTGAGTTGCTTGACCACGCTTTATTTAATTATGAAATATACTCGAGACCAAATAGCCAGTAAAAAGCCAAGTCCCAGGTACTTCTAGCCCACTTTACTAGTCTCATTTAGCACAGACACTCTAATTGACACTTTTTTCCCTCTTTTTTTTCCTTCTCGTCTCTGCTATTTATTTGTCCCCTGCACCCCTTTCTCCAGTCATCTGAAAAAGTGGGTTGTGCCCACGAAAGCTCATGACACCACCGACGTGTTTTGTGAGTCTGTAAAATGGCACCAGACCACTGGTGGTTGTTTTTATTAATGAGTGGTTTTCCAGTTGCAGACTGACAAGGCTCCTGCTCTGAAAGAAATAGCCGGTGCCCGTCAGGAAAAAGGTTCTAGTTGCTGACAGTCCCTGCAAAGTTACGTTGACCGTACGCAGAAAGTGTGCGCTCAAAGGCACATCCCTAACGCCACTGTGTTCCATATCCGCAAGAGCATACCTGCAACTGCATTCAGTTAATTAGCTTTTTACCTCGTTTGTCTCCAGTGCCATGGTGAACCCTTTCCTCTCCTGTTTGGAGCCCAGGCGTTCCAGGACCCGCCCTTCTCTCTGTTCTGGGCACATGCATTTCCGGTACTAAGAGGTGTGGGACAAGGCTGAAGAGGGTTGGGAAGGTAACTCCCTTTCTGTTGCTATGAGGAAACAACTGTATGTCCTCCTGCTGCCTGTTTTAATTTCTACTTAGGCCAAAGTCTCTACTTCCTCTAAGGCTAGCTGTTGTGGGCTCCGTGAGAGAAGTGAACAGACTTCTAATAAAGCCATATCTCTCTACCTGGTCTATGAATGCTTAGGTGTACTTGTTGTAGGCTTGGAATATCCACTGCAGCTAGTCCTATTGCCGTGCTAGGGATGCGAGCCAGCACAGGTTAGTCACCAGGTCTCTGGGCTGGAACTTGGAGCGGAGGGTGGGCCTGGCTTCCCCCGCCAGCGATGGCGAAGCACTCGAAGCCCCGAGCGAAGGGCTGGACTTAAAAGGGCCTGTGATGGGGCTAAAGATCCTGGCGGGACAGTTTGGTGAACTCTTGGCTACCCTGGAACGCACAAGGTGTTGACACTGTGGGGGCAGGTCAGGCCCTCGGCCCCTGCACCAGGGGTGGCTAAGCTGGTGCAGTGGCAGCAGGAAGAGGTTCATGTTGACTGTGAGACTTGGCCCGAGGTTTGGAGGAGGTAGGCTGCCTAGTAAGGCTGGCAAGGACTGGGGGAGAGTTTGCAGTATCTTCCCCAGCCTGTAGCAAGCACTCCACCCCGCTGTGTGCACACTTCCCTTGGGTGACACTTCTCAATGGCTACTGAGTAGCACATGCCAGCGCCGGCTGTAGCGGCAACAACCGTTCCAATCATTTCACTCACTAGAGGGCAATGCTGACTAAGAAACAGGCAGCGAGGATTTAAAAAGTTGTGATTGTCCAAGTAAAATGTTTGCAAGTTACTTCTGTGCAGACTAAGATTGGCCTGAGCCTTTGTAACACACAACAGGCTGGGCACTGAGCGGGTTTGTTTGTTTTTTTTTTTTTAACTTTCTAGGCGTTCTGAGAATTAGAGAAAGGATTCAATCCATTTTACCTTAACCCAGGAGTAACCTGCATTACAGGATGAGTTCTATTCACCGCCATGCGCAAAGCACACGTAAGCACTTGCAGAATCAAGTTCTGTGTTCAGTGGTCCTCATGAAACACAGTGAGTTGTGCATGTGGAAATCGAACAATAACTTCCACTTTATGCCAGGGCAGTGCGATGTTAACATGGAGGCCAGGTTGTATGAGGATGGAGATGAGGCATTTTTTCTCCACACAAGATTTTTCACCAAGGTTACGATGTGGATGGGGTGAACTTATACGCTTCTAGTAAGTCCTAGAATCTATTCTGCTGTGGAAATTAGGCTGGAAATTCCCTGGAAAAGGCGTTGCTGGAACATAGCCAGTACTTTGTGTCTCAAGAGAGACTGTACGTGTTTGAGGAGTAGGCTCACAGAATGCAGACAAGTGGGCAAATCATTTTTCCAGGCAATTATTCAGTAAGCTGATTTCACTTTCAAAAGTGCATGAGTTTAAGGTGAACTGTGCCTCTCTTGTGAACTGGCCTTGTGCACAGCCCTGTCTCTGCAGACACCTGAAATACACAGGTGTGCCTCACCCCTCCTTGTATTACTGACCAACCCTTGTCTCCAAGCCCCACCCTGCCAAAACATCCACTAGGGATGTTCAATTTTGATTAATCAGCTAATTGAGTAGTCAATGGAATTTGCATCAACTACTCGATTACTCAGTAAAGGGAGGCTCTTGTTATCCCACTGCGTCTCTCCCTCTGAAATGTTCAAAAGCTGCCCATGGCTCTTACAGAATCATAGAGCTGGAAGAGACCCCAGGAGGTCATCAAGTCCAGCCCCCAGCCCAAGGCAGGACCAACCTCAACTATATCAAGGATTTAAAAACCTCTAGGGATGGAGGAGTCTACCATCTCCCTAGCTAACCCATTCCAGTGCTTCCCCACCCGCCTAGGGAAATAGTTTTTCCTAATATACAACCTAGACCTCCCCCACTGTAACCTGAGACCATTGCTCCTTGTTCAGTCATCTGTCTCCACTGAGAACGGCCTCTCTCCATCCTCTTTGGAACCCCCCTTCAGGAAGTTGAAGGCTGCTATCAAATCCCCCCTCCCT